AGCTGAAACAGAAGAAGAATGCAATCAAAGACTTCAAGCACAAGCTGCAAGACAGGCTGCTCAAATACAACGTAAAGTTAGACTTCGAGCTCAAGCTGAAAGGCAGGCTACTCAAAGACAGCAAGAAACTGTTGAACAGCACAAAGCCAGAGTTCAGTCAAAATCACCAAGGCAAGCTGGATGTAGACAACAATAAACTTCTGAACAGCGTCAAACCAGACTTCAAGCACAAAAATTAAGAAAAATAACTTACAAAGAGCAAGAAACAGAGGAGCAACATGATGTACGACTTCAGGCTCAAAGAACAAGAGAAGCTCAAACATGATCTAATTTCAAATAAAGCTTTGTTTGATCAAATGCTTTTTTATTTCTCGCATCACAGCTTTTGTCTACTTACTGAATAATTTGCTGAAAAAATACTGATCTATACATTTCAATGCTAAATTTTCACCGTGCAATGCCGGGTAACTCAACTAGTGGTAATATAAAATTATAGACTACATCAAACATTGTTTTCATTTTCACATTAAGCGAGTTTAACCCTTCAGTCAGAGCCTTGTTATTTAGATTCTGGTTTCTAATATTTTCACCGTACATTCTCACCACTTCAGCCATGAGGTTGTTATAATGTTACAGTCAATCCCACTATTCATTAGTACAGTAATGGACGAAGAGATGCCAGTGGGTGGTGTTGACTAGCTTCCTTATCTCTCATCTCTTGCTCTAAATTATGGATAGCTTGTGCAGATATCCCTTGACTAGTTTTGAATGAAATTCAACAACAACAGCAAAAATCCTTCAGTCATTAGACTGAAGTCAGCTTTGTACCAGGAGACAAGGTGTGGTTGTATAATCCCAGGAAGACCAAAGGGAAGTCTCCTAAGTTGTCTTCTCAATGGGAAGGTCCATATGACATAGTGGATCGTCTCTCAGGCGTGACGTTCTGGATAAAATGAGGTCGGCGAGGTAAGCCAAAGGTGGTGCATGCCAAAGGCTTTGGCGTTATCACAGTCCAGGGCATTTCAGTTAGGACGAAGCGAACAATGGAACAAAAGACGCCGCTGAAGACGTGTCACCTGGAAAAGCCACCGTCGAAGAAAAACTCTATTCGGTTTTGAGAAGGGAAACAGTGAAGCCCTTGATGAATTTACTACCACTGATGTGACTGTTACCGATGACAGGACAATTCCCGATGTAGCAGATGAACCTCACCTGAAGCAGAAGCCAACGAAATGGAGACCAGTACGGAAGAAGATACGTCTCGTAAAATTAAGAGATTTTGTTGAATTATAATTTTGTATTTGTAGTGTTTGTAAATTCTGTACATTTAATTACGTTATTGTTAATTATCTATTGGTTTAATGTAAGTGGCTATTGTTCGGGACGAACAATACTGAGAAAGGGGCAGTGTTACGACAGCGGAAGTCTCTCGACGTTGGGAGCATGTGCACTGGAGTTTCTAGAAGGATCGTGACTTAGTGGGCAACCTCAAGAACGTCCCAGCGTTTGCTAGACGCCCTCTTTTTTAGTATATAAGCTGGAGATAGATACAGAGACATATAATCGAGTGAAGCGAGCAGTAGGCACAGTAAGTAAAGTGTGTGAATCGCTGTGAATTATAGCGTGTGTTTATAAAAATAGTTAAGTTTAAAGTGACTGTGGAAATTAAGTGTATTACAAAGTTTGTAACGAGAAAGAATAAACTAGTTTTAATCAAGAAGTGACTTGTATCGCTGAAGTTTCTTGGACAGAATTTTTACCGGAAATTATGAAACAAGCAGATA